GAGGGCAGTGTCACTGGCCCTCATATGTGGGATCCGAACCGGTGCCCTCCGGCATCCCAAGCGAGTTCTCAACCATCGCGCCACTCGGCCGGCCCTCTTCTGTATTTGTTTTAAACTAAAAAAAGTTTTAACTAAAGTCTCTTTATACAAGCTTACTTTAAAAGTCTAAATTTTTGTTTCATATGTTCATTATAATGAATGTAATTTCTGTCACTTAGTATTTTTTTGTGTGCCTTAAATATATTTTCATTAAAACCCTTAAGCTGCAAATTTAACACGTTTGTGGCAAAACCCATAACCATTAGCAAACTCATCAGCTGACTTTATTTTGTAATTTAAATAAATGTGTTACCATGTATCTTGTGAGAACTGTTGGAAAGTCTGTCCCCCATGAGCCCGGAACTGTCCTGAACATCCTTTCTGGGTATGCTTCAAATGTGAAATCCAGTCACTCTTTACTTGGGCCAGTTGTGTGTTTCTTCTAGGTCAGTTTCTAAGTAAATAAGTGTATAATAACACACATTTCCCAATTCTCTCAGAAGTATTTAATTGTGCTTCAGTGAATTTCAGTTGTCCATACATGCATCTCTGTTTAAGGGCTTTTCCTGGAACCCAGCGTATCTGTATGGCAGGCTGGGGATGCTGAGGAATTAGCCCGCGTAAGTCGCAGTCTTTAGTGACTGACAAGATGGGTTCATAAATACCTCAGCCCTTTTTCAGCCAGCGAGGATAATGCAGGTGGGATATCTCTAGTCATTCAACATAGTAGCTGACTTAATAGTGCGCCTCTCATCGGCTTCTTCCTTTCCTTGGAACACCTCCATTCCCTTACTGGTCTTCCCTAAATAAGCTTCTTGCACTTGAACTCTTGCCTCAGGGTCTGCTTTGGGGGGAGGCCCAAACTAAGATGGAGATGGTGAGTAGTTCTTCCTTTCAGAGGGACCTGTGTTCCTTGAGTTTGCAGGTACCTGCAGCCCATTCCTTGTCATCTGATATCACTGGATCATCTTTTACATGATATAAAGGATGATAAGGGACTCTGCCCTCTCCACAGATCCTGGGGTAAGCAATCACTGCTGCCACCAAAGTTGGTTTAAAAAGGGTTGTTTACTCAAAAAATACCTGTGTGTGGCAGACTGTAGCCAGGTTGCTGCACTAAAACGTCAGTTAGGCTCAATGCTGTAGTGAGAAGTAAAGCCTGTAGTGAGAAGTAAAGCCTGTAGCGTGTAGCTAATCTCATGTATATCCTTTGCCCTGCCTGCTACTGGTTCAGAAGCAAGCCAGAGGAAAAGCACCATGAGGTGACTCTGAGCTGCCTTTCTGACCTGTCCGCAAACACTGACCAGCCTGTGGTCTGGCCATATGCAGGTGCCACCAATAAACCTATGTGTCCCGTAAACATATCAGACTCCTGGCATTTCTTTATAGACCTTTCTGTTTAGAAGCTAGTTTTAGGACACAGGCTCCAGAAGCACACCTTAAAGCCAGGATTTATGCATATGTCAGTGATTTATTCGGGAAGTGTTCCCATGAGAAATCAGGAAGGAGTGAGGGAAGCGGGAGGGGGAGGGAGGAAACCAAGCTCCTGCAGGCTGGGTCTTACCCAGGCCGACCCTGCAGGGCGGTGCTGGTGTGTGCCTCGTCCCTGCACAGGTTTGTCCTCACCTGAGGCAGGGCACCTGGGCTTCTGTAATCCCGCTTTGTAATCCTTAGGGAGCGCTTGTCTGGGGTGAAGAAGGAACAGGTCCAGCTGCTGTGACTGAGGCCAAAGCCCGAGCCCCCTACAGGTGGCAGTGTCCTGGAGAGAAGTAGCAGGTCTTTGCCTCAGGGACCAAAGCACCTGAAGCCAGGAGAGGCACAGAAACCATAGGCGATCTTAGGTGAGCTGGGTGGTGCGCGGGCGATGTCCATGTCAGTGAGTGATTCTAGTTTCCAGTCATTTAGTTTCAGGGTAATTTAAAGTGGGAAAATGTTAGACATGTCAGAAGATAATTCCAGTTTAGTAAAAGATTTAAAAAGCGTCTTTCCACTTCCTGTCAACAAGGTGTACAGCTCCAAAAAACATTCACTTGTAATCAGAGCAATTCTTTTTTTCTGTGGCAGGGCTAAGAAAAAGGGAGCACAGGGCACTGTCTCCCCAAATTTCCAAAGCTTCAGGCTGTCGAGGTTGCCAAAATGATAGTATATTTTCAATATCTTTCCTGAGCTAATGCTATATTGTATTCAGATTATATGTGATGAGGCTGGGTCCTCGTCTGTATAGCAGAGCTTGTTCCTGGGTTCTGGGGGAGGGCTGCCTGTATATCCAGGGCTGAGAATCCTTGTGAAAACAACTCCTTCTTGCTTCTGTCTGTACTTGGCCACCTGTACCCAGAGTTTAGACACAACACCATGGAAATGGGTGAGAAAAAGATCCTCTTCATAGACTCTTTCCACTCCATTCAAATGAACTCAGATGACTGAGAGCAGATAGGAAATACCCAGTCTAACCTGAATCCTTGCAGGTGATACATCTTAAATTTGTCTTTCCCTGTAAACCCTTTCAAAGACACACACCCACACGCACGCGCACACACACACACAAACAGAAAATCTGTAAATGTAAATGTTGCAGTGGGATTTAATTTGTTCTACCTGCTCATTCAAAAATCTTTAATGAAAATTTGACATGCCAAAAAAATAGAAAGTTATTTGATAAAGAGTATCAAATGAATAAGACAGTTTTAAGTTTATCATTCTTGTGGAGAATACTGTGTGTGTGTGTGTGTGTGTGTGTGTGTGTGTGTGTGTGTGTGTATTTACATCTTCATATGTATACATGTATATAAAATCACCATCAGAAAACAGAAACAAGTATGCAGGGTGTTTGTTACCACACAGTTACTGCTGGGAACAGGTTCTTTGTTTATATGTAATAGCTAAGCCTTTTAGTCCCGTTGCTGTCAGTGTCTCTTGCTGCTTTAGGTTGCCAAGGTAACTGGGTATCAGGAAAACACTACTCGACAGAGAACCTTGTTTCCTGACCATTATCGGTTTTACAGTTTGTTGGTGGAGCAGAGTGCCAGATGCAGTGATCATCATCACTTATCCAAAGCTGCCTTGGAGTTTACACTGTAGAGACGTCACTTCTAACATAAGTAGAGGGAGGTGAGGTGACTCTCCCTATGGGTTTGGGTTGGCAGACAAAGGAATGGAGTGATGCACAATTAGCTTAAGTTTTAATGGGGCCAGGATCTTGGATGGAAACAAGGAAATTGGAAGGATCCAATTTTAGCAGGAGCGGGTTATTCCTTGTATCCAAGAGCTAGATAGAGGGATAGGTAGACTCCTGGGACTGATTGAGAAAGAGAGAAAATAAATCTAAGAAGACTGACCTAGCATTTTCAGATTGGTTCAGTAATCAGGTACTAATTGATTGTCTGCTCTTGTCTGAGTCAGTGGGATGGGTTGCCCACCTTTGATCTAGAAAAGACTTGCGATATCTCCCAGTCATTTCACCGCTTAGCCTCCCCTTCATCCTGCCACCCTCCTCTCCAGACTTGCTGTGGCTTTTCACCTGTGGAGGGGCAGGTTCAAGCCCATCCACAGGATGCCTATGTCATTTCACCCTAGTCTACCTGATTCAAAATCTTTCTCTGGTTTTCAACCTAATTTTCACAATCTAGAAAACCTGAAAACTTTCCAATATGTTTCTCTTCTTCCATTAAAAGTTATCCTGAAAAAATGACAAACATTACAAGAAATGTTTTTACACTGATGAAACGGCCTCAATTCAGAATTACATGACTAATAATTTTAACTGAAATTATGCATGTTTTACTACCTCCATCCTAATTTATACTTAGTTTGTGAAATGAAAAAAATCTTAGTGTATCACCTAAGTGCTATAGAAAAGCAACTCCCAAATCTCTGTCATTAAATGGAATTTATTTCTTATTCCCTAGAGTCTGATGTGGGTTGAGAAGCATCCCTGGGTGGTGCCCTGCTCATCAAGACACAGGGGTCTAGGACTCTGTCATCCTTAGCATTTGGCCTCGTAGTCACTGTAGAAAGGAAAGGGGACTTCGGAACCTGTGGGGCATTTGAAGAAGCTACACCATGATGTTGTTTTCATCACTTTGCTCTGTATCCCACTGTCTAGAATTTAGTTACAATTCCCCAGCCAAACAGTACAGGAGACCAGTAAATGTAGTCAACATGGACGCCTGGAGGGAAGGGTGGAACTGGTGGACAGCTAGCCTGTCTGCGCTGTCAGAAAACCTTTGGAACTAACGCACTCGTGGATAAAATGACTAAAGGATTTGGATAAAGAACTTGCTTCAGATCACACTCATACCCAGAAGGAGAGCTAATCCAGAACTCAGGCATCCTGACACAGTATTTCCTCCGATGTCCGAGATTACCTCCCTCTACTGACTGGGGGCTTTTGGATACAAAAGGAAAACCTGAACCAAAGTGGATTAAGAAAGAAAAAATGCAGAGTACATAATATATCATGGAAGTGAATTGCCCACAGACTGTCCTGATTTTAGGCTGTTAGGAGTCTTGATTCATAGATTCATGGTGATATCAGTACACCAACTCCATTTTGATTCTTATAGCTCTGTCCTCCTCCAGGTGCTGGACTTGTTCTCGTGCTAGATGCTCTCATGGTGGCATTAATGGACTTCACATTCCTCTCACCTTGTCAGCTCAAGTGCCTAAAGCTCCCACAGAAGAAAAAGAAGACTGCATCCTTAGGAGCCCTTAGTAAATCTCTGGCATTTCATTGGTCAAAATGCAAGCCATGCCCATCCCTGAACTAATGAGTGGACAGGTGTAAGAGGCTCTGCTGAACTTGACCTGGGGATGAGATCTAGCCTTTCAAACTGCACGGCTGCTTTGGACTGGGGATAGTGAGTTTTCCTATAGAAAGTGAGGCCCTTTGGGTTGGGAAAAAAGGGGAAATGGATGTTAAGGAAGCAGATGACAAATACCCACTCTTCCCTAAGATGTACTTAAAACAAATGCAACAAAGTTTCAATATTAAGAAGCCTAAGTAGCTCATAGAGCCAGTTATAGTGGGTCAAATCATATTCCGTATGTAATATGCATAGTACCTAAAATATTATTTTTCTCATTTTGAATTTGCTTGATGATTTTATATAACTATGAACCTATGTTTGGAAATAAAGATTTAAAAATACATGACATTTACAATTGCTGTCTTCTTAGTGGATGTCTTAAAAATCTTATGATTCACAATATAATATTTATTTTTTTTATAGGGAGTTATGCTCATAGACTTTCTGGACAAAGCGTTACCCCGGGGCACTGGTAATTCAAAGGACAGAGGAGCTTTTCTGAGGCTTTTCTTACTGTTTTGTCTCTACCTGATCAGTCCCCTGGTTCTTTTTCAAATAACCTCTGAAAAAAATATTCTCTGTACCTTTGCCAACAAACCCTGTAATTCCTTATTCTCTTTTCCTTAATAATTAGTTTCAAACATTTTACTACATCTCAGAGTTCTATACATATTAAATAGAATGAGCTGTGCAAAATAAACATTTTGTTGTGGGTCCAAAAGAGCTATAGCTTTTTTATGCCTCAGAAAATGTTTTAAAACTTGCTACCTACACAGCAATAAATGGTTTAAATGATAGCCCTTTAAATGCACCATTAGAACTCTGATAGAATTCATGAAAGACATGCTAGATTATATCCAGAGAATTGGTCTCATTTTAGCTTTTTTTTTTAGCTGAGCCATCCCGCCACCTGTTGGCAGCTCACGGCTGCTCAGCTCGGGCTGACTCGAACCGCTGTTGCTCAGAGCTCAAACTCTTGAGCGAGCTCTTAACCAACTGAGCCACTCAGCCGGCCCTCATTTTAAAGATATTATCCTCAAGAACATTCCATATAAACAACTCATATTTTCTATAGTCTTTTTGTTGTTGTTTGTTTTAGAGATTGAACTAGCAGTCACACCACACCAGGGATTGATAAATCAGAGCAGTGCTGATGTTACAACAAGGTAATACTTTCATAGTCTTCAGTTACAGGCTGGGATTGCATGGGCTATATTAGAGCTTACATAGATAGAAAACAATATGTTATATTTTATTAGCTGTGGTAACAAGTAATGATATGTGCAGTAGTGAAATGAATTATTAAAGAATATTTTTATTTTTACCTTCTTGGTTATTTTTACTTCTGTCAAGTACAGATTGGGTGACTAATTAATGGTAGTAAGAAAGCATTCTTTAAAAATAAATTTAGGTAAAGAAGTGAGTTTATTTGAAGACAAATAAATAAACAGTGGCATTATAGTTGTCCTCAGACAATAGTAAGAGTCATGAAAGTCGTACAGGTATGGCCGACATTGGAAATGTTGACCCTGCCCTTCAGCGTGCTCAATGGCTTTGTGCACAGGAATGAAATGTTAGCTTCTCTATGGAGGTGACCCTAGGTGTCCCCAAAGAAGAGCTCTGGAAGTTAAACAGTGGTAAGTGTAGTGTATTCAGTGCAGGGAGAAGCAGCAGCATCTTAAAGAGATGTATGTGCTCGTAGGCAGAAAGGTATTAACATTTGTTGGGAATGGATTTGTACTTAGAAGAAGGACATTTAGAAATAAGGGTGTAGAAAAACAAAATTTTCAAGAGCGTGCCTTCACCTGAAGAGGGAATCTTCTGTTAGGCCGATTCAAGAAGACACTTGACGGGGCCAGCTGAGTGGCTCAGTTGGTTAAGAGCTCACTCAAGAGTTTGAGCTCTGAGCAACAGCGGTTCGAGTCCTGGCCCGAGCTGAGCAGCCGCTGAGCTGCCAATAGGTGGCAGGATGGCTCCGCTAAAAAAAAAAACCTTAAAAAAAAAGAAGACACTTGACAAGGATATGCCACTGTCAC